ACAACAGACTCCTCAGCTTTGCATGGTTGCTGAGCCGTGCAGAGTGTGCCAGGAGTACAATGAATTAAGAAACTACTCTGCATGGAGGAGTGGTACAACTGAAAGCCCCAGTAGAGCTGGGACTCTTTGGAAATCTGGAATACAGTTGGAACATTCACAACCCATTGTTTTATGGTATATCTACAAAAGACTGTTGCTGGCAAAATAGAAACAAGTCAGAAGATATTTTTCTGCTTCCTTTCTATTTATTTTATAGTTTTTACCCAATTTAGTAAAAACTAACCATGAAATTATGGATTTAATCCTGGGAAGTTAGGTATTCTGCATAAAAAGGAAACATGTGACAGAGAAATTTTTACATAAAAACACATTGTGCAAAAACATACAGGGATGACAGGATGCAAATTGTGTGAAACTTACTCCCGAAGGAACCAGAGGTTCTCTAAGATGCATTACAGGGAGAGAGGGATACATGGGTGTGTGTGTATATATACACGCTCTCCAGAGTGCAAGTGTACATGTGGGAAATTATTAGAGAGAGGTATGTTTCAGCCAGCCTTAGGAGTTTCCTTGTGATTATGCTTGCTTTTTATTTGGACAAGCCTTATATTTGCAACTTGTCTAGAAGAAGGTCTTGGAGACTCAGGAAAAGGAGTGAATGAATGATGCTGCCAAGACCTGCATTATGTCTGGTTTCCTTTGCAATTATTTAGTGCTTGGCAAAGGCAAGGATGAAAATCCATGTTGTCCATCAGCATGGGAACAGAGATGCTGTGCTTCTGTGACCAAAATAATGGTACTTTCCCTGGCTGTCTCACAGCCAGTCCTGAGAGACTACAATAAAAGGCTATCTCTGAGCTGAGAAAAACATGTGAAGGGATCTTTCTGCCACGAAAACAAATAGCTTAATTCTGTCTAGAGAAAAACACAAAGGGTTTTTGAAGGCTCTCTTCAGTATTTTGGGATTCAATGAGAACAGTTCTAGGGGGAAAAGAATCAGTGTCCTGATATGAAGTAAAAATTGGAGATAACTTAAGGGAAGAAATTAAAGTGAGCTCAGCATTATCCCATAGGGGACAGTGTAAAAAAGGGCTCTGTCATTAAAAATCTTAATTATCCCTAGTCATCCTTATAGAAGTAATAGCCACTTGAAAGGCCAGTTTCAGCTGAGGATTCAGGAGGGGGTAGATGGGCTTTACTGTGACATGTACCAACGTCACATCACTGCTCAAGTGTTTCAGGGCAGAAATACAGGGCACTGAATTTTTGAGAGCACATGTAAGCATAGGGAAGGGACGATCTCTTTCAGTTGGTGGCAGCAGGTCTGAAATTGCTGGCAGAAACCCTCAGCTGTACTGTTACCATCTCATTTTTAACTATTAGAAGACAACGCAGAAATAAAGGAAGAGGGCGGTCTCTGGGTGATAGCAATGTCCATGTATATTTCTTGGTCTGCTTGAGTATGACCAGTGAAGCCTTTCTGATTCATAAGGCACTCTCTCACCAGAAAAGGACACATCCATTTGGTGTCCATAAGCCGTCCAAACTTGGGATGCTAAGTGTTGAGATGCAGATGAGTGGGATTTATTAGTACAGTTCTGGCTTACTTTTTAAGGTCTGGCCAAAGACTGCAATTTGGAGTGAGGACAGATATAGGTAATATAACGAAGTAAGGGAGTGTATTTCTGCTCTGAGGCTGTAGATAAGCTGGCACATCTAATTTCTGAGGAGGAAAAAAGGACCTTGGGTAGCCTTTACAGTTCTGTAAGATTAAAATATTTTTTTCTAAAAAAAACCCAATCAACCAACCAACCCACTCAAAAACCTCCCCATCACTCCAGGTCTCCCATTTGTGGTCTACCAGCCTGGAACAACTTGGGTCTTCTGTGAGTGAGAAACTGCTGCTAGTTCAACCTGACTTCTCCAGTCCCAAAGTCTGTTTGCTTTTTGACACAGGAGAAGAGCACTGTATCCTCCTTTTTGCTTATCATTAGCATGTTCTCATGGCCAGAATGGAGTCTCCTTGGACAAAGACCTGGCACAGGTTCCTGAGATGTCAGCATGGCAGTAAGGAGGTGCTTCTCAGGACCACGTGGCCCCAGGACCTCCCTAAACAAGCAGAAGAATAATACTGCAGATCTAGATAGGAGCTGCGATAAGAAGAGCAAATGTTGGCAAAAGCCTTGTGGGGCAGAGTTTAAAACTGACCATGAAATTATTATCTACAGAGTCATAGGGTAACTCTGGATAAGACACAGTCTGAAGCCCAGCCAAATAGCTGAGTGTGGCTGGCATGTCAGGGCTTCACCACCAAGGGATTCTTGGCAGAACAGAAGTAGTAACAGTTTAGCACAGTATCCACAGAGGGTTGTAACAAAGCTGTAGGAGAGGTGCTATTCTCTTTAGAAATAAGCTCCGTTATTGTGATGAATGTGAAATTTGTCAAATACCTAGTATTGGTTACAGAGTCTAGCTATTCAGGATCCTCAAAATCACAGCCAAATAACTTTATTTTAAACTGAATGCAGCTAAACCCAGTCATAATCAAAACAAAAAAATATAATGAAGTGTTTACCTATAGTGAGAAGTAGGCAATGTGGCACAAACATAAAAATACAAGTCATTCGGCAGTATGAAACAAAACGCTCAATAGCAGTGGTGTGAAAAAATCATTTGAGGTGGTGTCTGGGATGGTGTCGCAGAACAGCTTTTTACTGTACTCTGAGGAAAAGTTCAATGCCTCATGATTGCTGGCTGCATGGGCTTTCCCAGTCTCTCTTGGCCCCAGCTTCTGCAGGTGAGCACTCTTCATGAACTTACCACAACCTCCTCTAATGAACTGTATAGGTCTGGAAAGCTTGAGCACCTGGGCAAAGATAGGTAAGTCTCCAGACCTCAGGAAGAAATGGAAATCTGGAAGTGAGCTCCATCTTGCACTTGGGTATGGGCTACAATCCCTTTGCATTTAGCTATGAGTTTGCATTAGAAATATTACCTGTTGGGATTTGAGAAGAAAGAGTTGTCAAGGACAAGTTATTCTTGGTGTTCCTTTTTCTCCCATGGCTTCAAGGCCCCAGTAGGTAGGTGGACTGAAGCCCTTCATGGATGCATCACGATCTTTGCTGAGGGAGAAAAGGTCACCAGAATGAAAAAGCTTAAAATAGTTGTTGAATTAACTGAGTAACAGTTTATGCACTTTCTATTAGGCATAGCACTCTGGCCAAGTGTGCTACACATCTGCCATTAGAGCTAACAAAATTTTTTGTGTCATAAGAAGGATATACCATTTGAGAACTGCTGATAGTCTGTAAGGTGTTATAAGGTACTGTCATCGTTGTTATGCTGTCTGAGTCTCCTTCAGTGCCATGCTCTAATTTGACAATTATATGGGTTCAAAATATACCCTCAGCTGAATTAAATACTAGAGTTTAAGACTCAGTTCTCATTTGTTAGTCAGTGTACTTATGAGTCCACAGACTTTAATTTGTATTGGACCAAGCCTAAAGTAATATAGGTGGCAGTTCATTTCATGACAGAATCTTCTGTAATATTTCAAGGATTATTTTAAAGTTTTTGTGTATTTTGCAATATGAAAGTGCATATATGGATAGCAGTTATGAGCATAGAGCCTCACCGCTGTTAGAGCACACGTACAATTTGCTATATGCAGTACTTCTGAAATTTCTCAACAACCTCAGAAACAGCCATCCTCAAAACACATTTAAAGATAACATCAAGAGTTCTGCAGAGTGGCTCAATGCAATACCATTTCTGCAATAATCCATGAAAAATGTCACGATAACATGTATGATTGGTCCCATATCACTAATTTGAACCAGGTCGGAATACCAAACAGGGAAATTATTGTCATTTTTACATAAAATAAGTAAACTATCTGACCCAACCATCTTTGATCACAAAACAGCAAAAAACTGAAACACCACACCAAAAACCCCCCAAAACCCCAAAATAAGACAACATCAATACATTTTACCTCCTAAAAAGTAAAAATAAATTAAATAGACAATCTGTGTCATTTTTCCTTTAAAACTTATGGCATACATATAATATGTGACTGTAGTACCACAGTAATTTCAATAATTTTTAGGGTAACCTGTATGTTCTTGACTGCTCCAAAGTAATTCCAATCTCATGCCAGCAAATCACTTAGTAATTTCTTTGAGAAAAGATCCTGCTTTTACTTAGTGTGTAACACAATAAAGACCAAGACCTTCTGGATGAGACTGTAGACGGTGCAGTAGTATAAGTTAATAACAGGAACTATGACTGAGTTTTATGTGGCACTATGGGCTCTTTTAAGAGTTTTTCTTAGATAAACATTTTTAGCACATCATGCTTATGTAAAGCTATCTGTTCACAATCTTTCTCCTGGATAGAGCTGCTTGATCTTACGCATCTCTGATTTATACTAGTATATGTTAAGACAAATGATCACTGTGCAACTGCTGGGAATTAGGTTAATTTAGATTATTTTGCTAGAAATTCTGCTATAAGACTTTTGCAGACTTTTGATTGAGCTCTCAGCCAGGTTGTCTTCCAGACAATTGCCCGGATGAGATTTTGGGACAGGTGCTAACTGTAGAAACCTATTTAGTATTAAACGTACCTATCTCATTGCTACTGACTTTGGAGACGATACTTTTATATTTTTTTTTCTCCTGGTCATTGTTCTTCACAAAAGGCCTAATTGAAAATATCTGTCAAATCATGTCTCTGGTTTCCTTTTTCTCTCCCCCCTCTCCCCCTCCCCCCCTTAATTGGACACGTATCGTGTTTGTGTGGGAAGGAAGGAGGCTCTATAGCAGTATAGCAATATTGCTGGAAAAAAAAAAAACAACCCAACCAAAAACCATTAAAATGGATAAAGGGATTTCCTAGTGGTATAAATACCTGCACACGACCTCTCTGTGCTCTGGAGCCCTCCTGTATATGTATATGCAGGTAAAAAGCTTGGAATAGAGCTTGAGCTGCCATTAATCGCACAGGATCTGCTCTGTTAGAAAACAGGGGCAAGTGGTTCTCTTGCCTGTTGGAGGTTATGACTTGCCAAGCGTTTGCTTCATCTGATGCTTTTGTACCCTTGAATTCTGACTCTTCTCCCTCTCTGCCTCTGATAATGCATCACAGCGCCGCAGAGTGCCTGCCGGTTTCTAACCATGCCACCAATGTTGTGTCTACAGGTACTTTTTAAAAATAATCTTGCTCTCAGTAACCCTCATTTGAAATGCTTTTGGATGATACGTGTTCATTGAGTTCTGCAATATGTACAGTGTTTGGTATCAATAGTATGTGTGATTGGGACTACGTTAAAGTAGAAGCATTTTCACAAAACTGCGTGATAAGTGAATCAGGAACACTCCAAATATTCGTGTTCAAGCTAAATCTGTAGCTTTATGTGAGTTTGTCACGAGATGAGGCTTAAGCATGCTACCAATGCATTAACTTGGAACAGGTTCAAACACTGTCCCTGTTGTTACGACTATATAGTCTTCAATGACAAGTGTCATGTAAATTAATTGGAAGTTTGTTTATTATGTAACCACAATTTAAAATAACGTTACTTTAAATAGGAAATGTATTTAAAACAGGTCAAGTCTAAATATAATTTGGGGAAGTTTTCAAGAAGGGAAAACGTTGCTTTATAAAGCCTATTGCATACTGAATCAAGACTAAGATTTGTGATGTTCAAAATTGGTGGCAGAAGTCTCATAAATATTTGTAAATTTTGTGTGTTTGTGTATATAATCCAATTAATTGCATTTAAATACTAGGACTATGTAATCATTGAACTATCTGAGAGAGAAACAGAGAAAGAGAGAGTTTTCTTGCAGCCTTAAGCCTGCAGAAGTGGGATTCTGGAATACAGGAATTGTTGATGGAAAGCTTTCAGGAACAGAAAAAGAAATAGTTTTGATTGATTTGAAATTACATTATGGTAAGAATTTTATTTGGAGTCTTGACAAGAAACTAGCCTCTCCTGAAATGCATTGGTAATAAAACATTTTAATAAGAAAGAGCGTGTAAGTAATGAAAACTGAGCATTGGTGATAGATACCCGGATCTTACACATTAAGCAGGAGGCTCACAATATCCTAATATGGCTGTTGGTTAGCAGTGGTAGTAGGGAATAGGAGAATTTAAATTTTGTATGAGGCCAAATTTATGTATCTGTATCATAGTAGTATTTTCTAGATTCATCTGATTCATAATAAAAAGTACACGGTGACAGCCAGCCAAAAGCATTTGCTGGTCTCCTTCAGATTTGCGTTTTGATATTTTGTAGTTACCACCCAAGGACAAATACCACTGTAGTCAGTGGGAATTTTTGTTTGCAGGATCACCTCTAGCAGATGACCCTGTGAGAACAGCAGCAGTGACAGAGGGTGCTAACTATAATGAGTAAAGGTTTACAAATTTCATACATAGATTCAGAAATTGTAATAACGGCATTCTGGTGAAAGCATCTAAAGAGAATTTGTGCACAAAGTAGATGTGAAAGAATTTTGAAAAACAACTTATTGTAAATGTCATTTTTTTAAAAAATGCATGTAACAATTCTGTATTACAAAATAGAGGTGAATATACTTCTGTTCAAATACCGTGTCATACAGCTGATATTCTGCAGTATCCTCAACACTTTAATTGTTATTATTTAATTTAAATAGTATCATCCTCTCTATTTAATTTTAAATCCTTATTAGTAAGTTGAAAATGCTATTTTTATGCATAAATATTATAGTCTATGTATTATGAAATAATAGGGGGAAAAAACCCAGTAAACACTCAGATCTTATCTCAATAGAAATGTTGCATTTCTCTAAATGCATTATTGTTATTAATGCAACCTTTATTTTGCATGCATTTATTGTACTGTAAGCATACCTGGTTTAGTGGATTTTAAATCTGTGTAAGTCTGTCTAAACAGGACATTTTACTGTTACGATTGCTGGTTTCTTTAAACAACAGAAAAAAGAGATTCTAATCCCTAATTAATTATATTGTCTAGAAAAACTGGAATGTGTGCTCTAAAGTGCAATTTTACATGTCTGAATGTTCACGAACATGAATTTTTAATATTATATTTTATAGTAGTTGTTAGAGGGGACAGTATATGCATTTCTGTGCCTACTTATGCATGAAAAACAGCCATATCTCTCATTTTCTATTCAGTAAAATAATTGTCTGGTTCTTCAGGCACTGAGCACAGATCTGAAACATCCCTGTAAAAACACCAGAGATAAATTAATTGTGGGTGCGTTGGTGCTGATGATGGAAAATGTTGATTTAGGCCTAACTTTTTAAAAGAGCCCAGAGTCTGTCATCCTGTTTCCCTACTACTCCGCCACAGCACTCTGAAATGTGTTTTGGTGGCTTGGCACTTAAGAAAATGTGATTTCTGGATGCCTCAAAGCAAATGTCCCAAACGGCTGTTTTTGGAAACCCAGGTCGTAGGTATGCATAAAATATTGTCTTCCTTGATGTCTGTGTTCATTGTGGGGTTTGCACAACAGCGAGGACAACAGAGCAATTCTTTTTTATAAGACTAAATTAAATGGTGTGTGGAAGTAGGGTGGGGAGAGGAACCGGTCTCCTCCTGGAGAGTTCGATGCTTCCCTTGCTCAGCAGTATGTGCAAACTGTGTTACGCCCATAGATTATACTAAAAGTAATGCATTGAGGCCACAGCATGACAATTTCTGGTCTTGGCTCGGAGGATATCTCACTATTTATACTGGCAGTCTCGTCCGGTATGACCTGGCCAAGCGTCTGGACTTCCAGCAGCGTTATCCTGATGGTTATGGCCCAGAGTTAAACGCTTACTGAATGCACACAAAAACTGCGTCCATGGGTACCGTCTGCCTCTGAACTTAAAGGCTGTCTCTTGAATCCTCACATTTTCTTACCAGTCCCATCTGTTTTGTCTTTGATCCAAACTCCTATATGCTCCCGTATCTGCTTTGCCATGACGACTTTGGGAAACACTTTGGCAGGCCTTCATTACTCTGTGCCTTCTTGTCATTATGGAAACCAACCGTCCACCTACGGGGTGATGGCAGGTAAGAGACATACCCTCCACCGGGTGAGCTACTAGCATGGTGATTTTGGTCAGTTTTCTTTTACAGGGACTGATTCAAGGCAGTGGCTTAAAGAGGACAGAACTGGGGTTAAGGTACCAAACAAGGGGGGTAGGAAATTAGGCATCAGTGCCGAGTTTCCCCAAACCTCTGCATCTCTCGGGAAAACTGTGCCTGATTTCTCTCTACAAGATTGGGGCAGTGCTGCTCTTTTTGCTCACCTGTGCCCACTTTCCCTCGTAATCATCACTTTTTGAGGGACCAGGAGTAATGTACCTGATATACCTGTGTATTACCAGTACCTGGGGTGATGGAGCCCTGAGTGGAGCTATAAAATAAAACGGTGGCATAGTGGAAGGATAGCTGAATTCAGCAAGCAGATCATACAAACTATCATGGATTTTTACACTCGTGAATGTACGCTAGCATCCTGCTCAGTTTTCCATGCCCCAGGTTGAGTAAGAAAGAGGAATGGTTATTCCATGCAAGTTCCAGTAGCAGTCAATGAGATACTGCCATGAACCAAATTAATGCAACTCCCAGGAAACAATCATGAGTTAGAGTAATCCCAAATCAAACTCAGCATTTTATTTCACTCAAGAATGAATGAAATATTTGCATAGGGACTTTTTAGGGATAAGAGACTAGACTTCATGGTGTGGAAAATTCCAAATGCTCCTATTCCATTATCCATTTATGTGTCTATTGCAAACATTCCTGGCATTGTTCAGATCCCTGGGAAAATTTAATAGGTATTAAACAAAAGGTATTGCTCAGAAGTTCATTCTGTTTCATTCCAAAATAAATATCTTCATTTTTCTCCTTTTATTTTTTACCCTTACTTTTTTTTAGGCATCAAACCTGCAACTCCAGAGATGCTATCAGCAAGTCTCTCCCAGAGCCGCATCTTACAGACGTGCAGCATGCCACATCCCAATGTGGTAAACGGTGTCAGCACCTTGCAAAGCAAGTTCTTCTCTTTTTTAGTCTTTCCTTTATTCTTTGAGGGTTTTTTTTGTTTGGTTTGGTTGTTTTTTGTGTTGGGGGGGGGCGGGGGGAGTTGTGGTTATCCTGTGTGAAACATATAAAATATTCCTATGGGATGAGAACCTTCAGCACTGGTGAGAGCAATCAGGGCAGTGAAGACAAGAAAAGTAAATGGAGGAAGGGGTGGGAGGTTAATGAAATTCTGAGTTCTGCTACAAAGTTTTGTGCAGTTTAGAAAATTGGGAAGGATGTCCTGAGAACCTGAAATTTTCTGGCTGCACCAGATACACTGAAGACTGTTAATATTTCTCCAATGATTTTTTTTTTTCTTCTCCTTCAGGTCAAAGACTCTTTAGCTCTATGTACAATATCTAGCAAAAAACCAGCCTTCACTCTTAACTGAATCTACTTGTTAAGTCTGATCTTTATGAACAAAACGTAGCATGAGATAGTTTTGTTTTGGGCTTGAGCAATTTCTTTTTAAGCCAGAATAGTTATTCTGAATGTGTTGGTTTTAGGTTTGGGTTTGGGGTTTTTTTTGCTTGGGTTTTATTTTTTTTGTTTTGTTTTTTTGTGTGTGTGTGTGTGTGTTTTTTGTTTTTTTTTTTATTTGAGCTCTTACCTGTGTACTTTCCTCAAACAAATTTTATGCCAAAACTAAACCAAGGTAGTTTCTTGTCTGGGCGTCAAATCGTATTTACAGGGAAATATTCTTTGTACCCTAAAACAGAGACTGACACATTTTAGGTGACTCAAAATGGCACAGATGCATCAATCTCATTGTGCCACTTAATTCCAGCTGAGGTCCGGGATTGTTGTTTGTTTAAGTCTGGACCATTTACAGTCCTATTTAAGTGCATCACGGTTTGCTGTGAAAAAGGGATGGCTATGGCTTGTAAAAGTGTCTGTTTTCATGCATGAGGACAAGAGAGAGAGCATGTCTCCTAGGAGATCCTCACTCTTGGATACTTTTGCATATGTTCTATAATAAACATTACAGACATCGATTATGAGATGATGAAGGCATGCTTTTATTGTGTAGCAGTAAAGACGAACTTTACTGAGGGTTTTTTTTTGTGTTGCTCAGGTAGCCTGACCCCTTGCCTTTACAAATTCCCGGAGCACGCCCTGAGTGCCAGCTCCTGTGCCCTGGGCCACGGCTTCACGCCCATGCACCAGTCCCTCCTTGCAGACGATCCCGCCGCTGCAGACTTCAAGCAGGAGTTCCGCAGAAAAAGCAAGTCTGTTGAAGAGCCTGTTGACATGGACTCCCCTGAAATCAGAGAACTGGAGAAATTTGCTAATGAATTCAAGCTGCGGAGAATTAAGTTGGGTATGCGCTTTCTATGAGCAAACAAAAGGGTGACAAATTCCAATGGAAGTCCAATTATTCTGAATGTTTTATGGTCTAGCCTCTGCAGTTGCCTAATCATAACTCTAATCCTGCCTCGCACTGCCAAACTTTCTTCATTCCTAGAAGACTTGCACAGAATTAATGAACTTCAGCTTTTTGCAACTTAGTATGCAGAAAATTACTTTAAACTTCCCTGCCCTTAAATGATTTAAGTGCAGAGAAAATTATTGCTGTTCATTAAATTATGTTCAGTAGCAGGTGCGTTATTTTGCACAGCCCCAAATTTTCTGCAACTTAGGGCAGTACATGTTTCTAATGCCTGTTGCCTTCCCCATCAAGTGCTCCATTGCACAAGATGGTGCAATGTCAGTTTAGTATAGAAGATGGGTGGCAAATCTTTCACACCAGTGAGAAGCTTCTCTTCCTGTTTTATTTTCTTGTGCCAAGACACTGGTACAGCAGCAACTGGTATCTCTGTTGCTGTCTGATAACTACTGGGACTGACACGAGACGGGTCTCTGGTGAGCTGCTTTGCCTTCACTGGGCAATCTTAGCTGAGGACAAAGGTGGACTGAGCCTTGTCTTTCTCATCTGTAGGGAATTTCTCCTTTCTACAGAAGGATTGAGGTACATTGCAAAGTAAAAGCCCATCTCATTCTTGTTTGAACTGTACTAAAAAAACCCACCCAAAACATCTGATGCTGCAGATTCATCCCATTTATCAACATTGAGTACTCTGAATGAAGAGTTGCAATTTTTACGTTATTGCTTATAACATTATATTGTATCATTACAAAATGGGGCATCCTACAAAAATCCAGCTTTATAAATGTAAAAATACAAAATTATAAGGTTATTACAGGTATCTATGCATTATTTCAACAGCTAGAAAGCTAGTGTGTTCCATTTGCAGTGTAAAAATGAGGACTGAAACAAAAACGTAGGGCTTAAAATAGTATTTGCAACTTGGTCAGTTTTGCTGTAAATCATGTATTTAATGTCCGCCACCACAATGGAAAGGTTTCCTAGGCTCCAAGCTATTAATCACTGTAATTACTGCACCTTCATCCTGTATTTGTGAGGGAGCAGAACTTCCTCTGATGCAAACAAATGGCACAGAGCCTGTAAGACTGGGCTTAATGCTCTGATGGGAAGAATGCAATTTGCACAGGAAAACTAATCTGAGGTTGAGCTTTATGAGGCAAGACAGAGTTAATATGGGCTGTGGGTCCGAGGCTGAGAGAGACAGAGTTAGTGCAATCAAACTGGAGGTGGAAAGCTGCCCTGTGAGACATTCAGCATCTAAAGAGATCGTGCCCGTTCTGGCGCAGAGGCAGAAAGGGAGGACGGTGAGCCAGAGCCCCGAACGCAGCAGAAAGACATTCAGAGTACTGAATGAGGAGCTGCTGTTACAAAGTCAGTGTCTGCACGGAAACTGCAGCATTGCTGTGATCGCTTCAATGCAGTTGTCACAACAAATAAAAGGAGACCAGAGGTGCCACCGGGGATCAGCTTATTGCCACTGTACTGTCTATAGAAAGAAAGGTATGGGATCTGGATCCTTCTCTAATCTCGGAGTGTAAAACTCTGCTAAATCAGTGTAAAACTCCACTGAAACCAACAGGAGACTGAACAGTGATCTCTGAGGTGAGCTCGGAGTCAGCCACAGAGACCTCTGCAGAAAGCCCGTTCTGAAGACACTGCAGGCACACGCCGTTCATAAGAGTCAGCACTGAAGTGTCTCAAGGAAAGTACCCCTTTCTAGAAAGCTCCAAAATGACTCTTTTCTCTTTGTTTTTGACAGGTTATACACAAACCAATGTTGGAGAAGCGCTGGCTGCTGTGCATGGCTCTGAATTCAGCCAAACTACTATTTGCCGGTTTGAAAACTTGCAGCTGAGTTTCAAGAACGCGTGCAAACTGAAATCGATACTGTCCAAATGGCTGGAGGAAGCAGAACAAGTAGGAGGTAGAGAATTGAAATCCTCTAAATACTGATTTTCATTTAAACCAGAATCCTATATATAATTTGAAGGACTAGTATGTGTCTTCCATCATAGCCCAAAGTTTTTGTTTTACCAGCTTTAAATACTAAAGTGTGCTTATACTACATTTTGGTTATCGTTTTTGAGTGAGCAAGGAGGGGCAAACTGACGTGCTCGGAGGGTACAGAATAGCAGAAACATCCCTTGGCCTAGTGGAAGTAATTTCTTTCAGTCCCATTTCAGCTCTGTTCCTGTAGCACAGGTCAGAGCTGTTATTAGGATCTGCAGGACAGCCCGTTTAGCAGTGTAAGGGGATTCTTCACGAGCAAAGGACTCTTCCAGCCTCTGGCATGTGAGATGTGGCCATGGGGGAAAAGATTTGAATTCAGCTGAGGCAGTGGTCTTTAAACCCTGAAGAAGAATAGCGTGGCATAGAGGTTTTTGATGCGACCTTTTTGCTGCTAGGAGATTCCCTTCCTTTTGCCCAGTTACTTTCCAGTTCCAGGAAGAGTCATGGGGTTCACTGGGCAAAGCCTACTTTAGAACAGGTTGGTTAATTTAAAGGAAAAAGGGTTGTTTTAAAGAGCAGCCTCTTCAGCTGGATGAATTGTGATGTTGGGAAGCAGTATGCCTGGAGGTGGCAGCGAAAGCCAGAACTACCACTGTGCTACTCACCTAGCACGGGAAGAAAGAGAAGATGATCTTAATGCTACTTTTTGGATTTGCCATTGTATTCAATAGTAGGAAACCTTGCTAAACAGCTGCTTCTGCCACACAGTTCAGTTTCCTTTGAACCAAATGTAGAAAGCTTTTTCCCCCTGTAACTGCATTAGAAACCAGAGACTCTCCTAATGTGGCTGGCACGTTGCAAGAATCGCTTGTAAGGGGTTTGGGGCAGGTAGCGGCTACTGACTGCGCGAGCAGTGTTACAGGCTTGAGCTGCAGGGCAAGATCATTTGTGCAGGCAGTGCCCTCTGAGAAGTGAGGGAGCACCTGTCCATCAGAAAGTGGGGTGGAAGAGGCAGATGAATAAGTGGGGTTGGGAGCCAAGGCTGTATTTCTGAAAAAAGAGAGTGAGCCAAGGGGTATGGAAATGGACTCTATCTGCCCAGACCATACCCTGCAGGGTAGGAGGAAGAAGGTCTGTAAAAGGAGGGGGCTGATGTATGGCTCCGTGGGTCCGTAGGCACAGAACCAGCACTGTTTGCAGCTTTACTAGTGGCACGCTGTTTTTGCTTTATAACCATTTATAGCTGGAGGTGAAACAATGACCAGCCATCTTAGAGAAAAAAAGTGCTCCTCTGTGTGGTGCTGCTCTTATTCAGTAGCATCATCTGATTGCTTTCTTCTGTCTTCAAAGAAAGGGACTTTTTTTTTTCTGGAGATAATCGTGCTTGCTTTCCATCCCCTGTAACTGCTGGGTTGTTTTTGTTTTGTTTTTAATGCAGCTTTATACAATGAAAAAGTTGGAGTGAACGAGCGGAAGAGGAAGCGCAGAACCACCATAAGGTAATAAATATTTAGGGTATTACATGTTACACTTTGGCTACCATGCTGCTTTTTCTAGGGCTTGAAATCGAAGTGATATTTTCTGTTAACGAGTATGGCTAGTGTTTCAAAATATTTCACTGTTTTGAAACATTCCAGTGAAAAATAACAGCATAACACTCCAAACCCCTTATTTGCTCCAAATATTCTACATTTCCCAGTTAAAGACTTTTTTTTTTTTTTAACACATGACAACATACTTTAATATGAAAGAAATACGTTATTCCAATTCTACCCAAAGTATATTATATCTATAAAGTGAGTAGGATATAATGGAATCATAGAATAGTTTGGTTTGGAAGGACCTTAAAAATCATTCCCTGCCATGGGCAGGGCCACCCTCCACTAGACCAGGTTACTGAAAGCCCCATCCCACCTGGCCTTGAACACTTCCAGGGATGGGGCCTCCA